ACAGCCCCCCATACTAACATTGCCACACACGTACACAGCCCACACACCCTACACATTCACACACTACACCCCCCCCCACACACTGAACCTTTCACACACATTGCACCACTGCTCCTATTCCCTACTACAGCCCCATATCCCAGCAGATCCCAGGTAAATTGTCAAACTGTTCTTAAATGGTTTGACTACTTACTCTGGAGCAGTAGTGGTTATTGTGCATAGATTATTTCTTTAAATAATTTACAAGTGCCCCAGTAGCCAGCCAGCCAACCCACAGGCTGGGCAGTAGCCAGCCAGTTAGCCAGCCAGTTAGCCAGCCCACAGGCCAGTAGCCAGCCCACAGGCCTACAGCAAGCCCACAGCCTGCCAGCCGCAGTCAGCAAGCCCACAGCCTGCCGGCAGTAGCCAGCAAGCCCACAGCCTGCCAGCCGCAGCAAGCAAGCCCACAGACTGCCAGCCAACAACAGTAATTAAGGTAAGAGGAGCCAACTTGGCCTAGGTATCAGTGAGCTATGTTGTGTTGCTATATTGTGAATAGGAAACCAGAGTGTTGGAGAGACCACCCTCCAGGCCCCATTAGACTCCATTGTAGTCTCTAATGGGGCCTGGAGGAGATTCTTTCTAACACACTCTCTAAAGGACACTGAGATAGCCTCTGCTAGAAATCCCCTCCATGGCCCATTAGCCCTCAATTGTAGTCTCTACTGGGGCCTGGAGGCGACTGTTTCCAGCAGGGGATATCTAATGGACGCTGAGATGGCCTCTGTTAGAAAGACCCCCTTCCAAGCCTATTAGAGTCTCTATTAGAGTCTCATTGTAGTCTCTAATGGGGCCTTGAGGGGATTCTTTCTAACACACTCTCTAAAGGACACTGAGATAGCCTCCGCTAGAAAGACCCCCTCCATGGCCCATTAGCCCTCAATTGTAGTCTCTGCTGGGGCCTCGAAGGGCTTATTGCCCTTTTGTTCCTTGTGTCTAAAGATTGTGTAGGGTGTGGCTGGAGGCGGTGCATGGAGGCGGGACAAGGGTGGCGCTTGCTGCAGAGTATGGGTAGGGCCTGTAAGGGGGCCCTTGATTTATTTTGCCCGGGGGCCCTGAGGGTTCTCAGTCCGCCCCTGTGCGGTAGTAAGTATACATCCAGTTGTGCCCAATCCTTATAACCTGCTTGCCTTGATTCCGGGTGGGGCTACTTACTTTACAGTCTTGGACCTTAAAGATGCCTTCTTTTGCCTACGAATTGCTACAGAAAGCCAGTGTATCTTTGCATTCCAATGGGAAGATGCTGTAACGGGCTCGAAACGTCAGATGACCTGGACAAGATTGCCCCAAGGGTTTAAAAATTCACCTACCCTATTTGGATCAGCATTAAGTCAGGACTTATTAGATTTCAAGTCCATCCCAGGAGAATGTGTACTACTACAATACGTGGATGATTTGTTGATAGCGGCAGTTACTAAAGAGATATGCCAGCAAGCAACTTATGATTTACTGCACATTCTTTGGAAGGCAGGATACAAGGTGTCCAGGAAGAAAGCTCAGTTGTGTCAGCCAACTGTCAAGTATCTGGGATTCCATATCTCTGAAGGTCAAAGGATAATGGGGCCTGAAAGAAAAGAGGCTGTATGCCAAATACCAACACCTAAGAATAGAAGACAAGTGCGAGAATTCTTAGGGGCAGCAGGCTTCTGTAGGATATGGATTCCCAGTTATGCGATACTGGCGAAACCCCTCTATGCCGCTATTAAAGGCACGGAACATGATTCCTTCCTGTGGACCATCGAACAGCAGAAGGCATTTGAGGATGTTAAGAAGGCATTGATGAGCGCCCCCGCATTAGGTCTACCTGATCATACACGTCCATTCTACTTATATGTACACGAGCAAAGAAGGATGGCTGTGGGAGTACTGACACAGTATCTGGGATCATGGCAACGACCTGTTGCGTATATGTCCAAACAACTGGATGCAGTAGCCAGTGGTCTTCCTCCTTGTCTAAGGGCCGTAGCTGCCACCGCCCTGTTGGTAGCAGAAGCTGACAAGCTCACTCTGGGTCAGGAACTCTATGTGCGAG